AATCAGTTAGGTGGCTCAGCTTGCCTAACTGATTCTCTACCGGATTTAAAACTATAGAACTCAGCCCAAAGAGTTCCTACTAGTAAAGGTTCCAATAATAACACTGTCCAAATGGTTGGCATTTTTGACTTTTTTATCTTCCAAATTGTTCGTTATTCTATAAGCCAATGGTCTTAAAATGGAGGGCTGCATGCGCTATGAAGAAATTTTAAGCGGCCCACGAAGACATTTCAATTATGTATTTGTTACAAAGATTTGAAGATTTTTGTTATTTGAAGTCTGAGTTTATATTATTTTTACTTCCATTAAGAATGAACATGATAATGCCCGGTGACGAAGTGGCTAGCGTGTCACGCAGCTGCACCACAGGTCCGGGGTTCGATCTCCGGGACGGGCAAGGTTGATTCAGCCTTTCATCCCTTAAGTGGGTCGATAAAATGAGTACAAAGTTTGCTTGGGGACTAATAACCGAGGGTCCTGCAACAAGCTGACCACTTATCTAGGGCATATGCTGATGCTCTCCAGGACCCAAAAGTCCAGAAAGCAGGAAAAGGGCACTGCAGGCTATGGCCCACTGAGTTTAGTTTTTTTTTAGTTAAAAACTGAGCATGAATAATGCACTAAGAAAACCTATAAATGGAGCTAATTAATTTACAATGTGATATAAATCTAATTTGAAGATACAGATTTTATTAACTTTTATTTGTACTAGTCAAAAAATGAATAAGCCAAGTTATGAATTTTTGCGCTAATAAATGATCACTTTGTTTGCAAACAGCATCCCACCTAGAGTAGAAAATAAGTAAGGAAAGAACTCGACAGACCAAAAACATCTACTATCCACGATGAAGATAATTTCCAGTAAATCCTTTTCAAAGCAACAAACTTTATCAGAACTGAAACACCATCAAATGTCAAGCAGTTGTAAGAAATAAAAATGTTTATAATTATTTACACACACACATATATATATTTCTATTTAAGTGTGCAAGAAAAATTTAATTAATAACAGAAAGAGACTAGGCTATTATTATTTACATTTAAGTTTTGTCTCCCACTTGGAAAAGTTTTCATAATATATTTATTTTTAATTTAAATTAAAGTAAGCTATTTAATGATTAATTTAACAAATTAGAATTATTTGAAATAATTGTCAAGGAAAAATTTAATATTTAGCTGTCAGTATATTTGAAGTAAAAAGTGTAGTGAACAAAAATGTCTCGCAGTTACCAAACTTTTGATTTCAAATAGAAAATAAATACAAATTAGAATTTTTTTTTGCGATATTGTTGTTATTGTTTATGTATGTTGTGATAAATATTTAATAAGAGAAATTTCAAATTTAGTTAAATTTCTCTCATTATTTAAAATATTTTTTATTTTGTTAATTAAAAAGTTTCATTTCATTCCCTCCTTTAAAAAAAACGTCTCGCCCGTCAGCTCTTTTCAGATCATACAATCAGCCTGCATGCAATTTCAGTTTTAGGCCACTATTATAAGCTATTCATTTCTATGGAAGTGGATTTTCTGTTTTGTCACCAAAATAAAGGACTGTGTAGAGAAAAAGCTTCATCAAATTTAAGAATATGGTGCAATTACAATGCAAATTTCAAACTACAGGTAATTGATTAGCAATATTTTCTTTTCTTCCCCCAGTTTAAATTCGGGGATCATTTTCCCTCCTTTTTCCAGTCCTTCGAATTTTAAGGCGTTACTTATATTCCGACCAATAAGGTAATACATATAAAAATATTAAATTAAAACTCTGCTTAACTGAAATATAAATTTATATGTAACCATTAAACACTGTTTAAACAGAAATTTGAAGCTAGGAGACAGCTGGGGAAACTCCACCTTCGAAGAACATTTAAGTAATATTATATTTAGATATTTTTCTCTGGTTAGAAAGAATTATATTAATACAGGATTATAATATCCCATTAAAAAATTCTTTAATATACTCAAGCTTGTGATTTTTTTTGTAAAAACATGCAAAAGTTTATAAAATATGCTTATGTTTCTAAAGTTAAAACAATGGGGTACTCAGTGTGTTATGTAACTAGCTACATGATATTTTTCAAAGGCAACTAGTTTAAGTTAAAAAATACTGAAACAGAAGAAAATTGGCAAAATTAAATATACATACTACAAAATGGCTTTGATAGTTGAACGTGACAAAATGAACACACACAGATTCAGTAAACTCTGGTATACGACTTGTTTACAATGGCAGAAAATGAGGGTGAAAGGAATTTTAAATAACAACCCTGCAATATCCCCTTTCATAAAGCCTGGATTACATTATTTTCAGAGAGTATCTCAAAGTTCTGTACGAAAATATGTTCAGGTTTGAAAAGTCAACTGTATATGACATAAGCAATAAGAAAAAGGTACATTTTGAATTTTTTGTGGAAGCATCTTAAACAACTTACACTGAAAGAAATGTTTAATAAAGTAAACAAATAAATATAAAGTTTTTTTTTTTTTTTTTGTAAATTTTGATACTGTTTAGATCATAATTGCTCTTTATTTCATAAATTACGGTTTCATATTTTTACTTTTATAATTTCTGCATATCATCTTACCAGATTTAAATTGAAGATCTATAATGCGGAAAAACCTCTAATCCAGAATTGCCGATGTCCCGACGAGTCCGGATTAAAGACTTTGTACTGTATAATGTATGTTAATGTTTTTGTAGTTAACTGAAACTTGTAACATATGGTTCTTGTTAATTGTTTTTGTCTTAAATGTAAGACCTGCTTTCCATAATTTTAAGTATTATTATTCTCTTAAATTTTTTCAGAAAAAAATCCATAAAAAATTAATTTTTCTAACTTTTGTTTAACTAAATTATCAGTTTATCATCTTTACAAGCAATTTCCAATTTTATTATAATAACAAATAAACCAATATACCATATTTCAATGCTTTTCTTTAGCAGACTAAAATTTAGCCTTGGATGTGATAAAACTTATTATGCAAATCGTTAACCTTCATGACTATTAATGGAGGTTAATGTCATCTTCCTTAACATTAATTACACCCTCCTCACGAATCAAAATCTAGAAATACACGTAGTCATCTTACAGAGCGTTCATCATATTCTGAAATTTTTAGCTTAATCATTTTTAATTTTAGTGATTTAACCAAACAACTCGAAATCAGGTATAATTTCAAATGGTCATCTACAATAATTAAAATGTTATCCCATAGCTGAAGTGATTTATAATAAAATCATAATCACTCAGGTACTAACTCAATAAATGAGCTATAATGAAGACTGCAAAGTAATTTCTTAAATTAAGCATAAAAAGTAAACTATGAATGTCACATGTATCTATACCATATAACTAATTGATTAAAATATTAATAATTCTCACTATGAGAACCATTCTGACATTTAATTTCATAAACAAGTACAGTATTATTTAAGGATAAAAATTCACCCAAACAATTAGTGCTTAGTTCTGAATACAAGAAAATAAAGAGGCACATGAAGATAATATCTTCATTTAGAAATATGTTGTATTTCGAGCATAATTTCAGTTTATGGAATTAATTACAGATACGCACTATATGACACAAAAAATAAAATCTTTATGCCATTCAGTCATTGCAGAATTGCACACACAAATATGTCAAAAAATACCCGGAATATGACTCCAGTGAATTTAAATGATGAGATGGATTGACTAGGACAATGAGATGCACAAAGAAGCCGTGATTTACAAGCTCATTGTACACATACAAATATACACAAGCATATATATAATATGCACTTTCTGACATTTTTTTTAAAGACATCAGATCTTGACCCCTTTAATATTGAAGATACTCCAAATATAAGTTTAAAAGGGTTATTACTTCCTGAGCAACAATTTAATTAGATATAATACACTATCTACTGTGTTCTATCATGAACTCCTAATTTTTTGCATAATTAGGATAAACGTTTTTACGACTCTCTCATAAAGTATGATATCCTGGATCTTGAAGTATTCTGTTTTGACATCCTCAGTAATGGCTAGTGCAAGATGTTTTAGAAGCTGTAAAGAAATTAAAATCACTTGGCATCAGATAGGGACTAAACCAGATGTCAAAATCTCACACTGAAAAAACATTGCAAAAGGTTCCAATTTGAAGCAACTGTATACAGTACAATACTGGTATATTAAATAATTGTTAAATATTATTAACCTGAGTTGGTGATTAAAGACATCTTATTCTTCAATGCTGATGTTCACTCACAGAGAGCTGCTGCAATTTGAGAATTCCTGTAACCTTTTTGTTTCAAGACCTTAGATAATTTGCATCTGAAAAACGTTCCTGGTTTTGTTTCAAAATCTGTGGCAATATAAAACTCTCTAAGAAGTGGAAATCTCTTGGCATTAAATAATGGTCTTGCAATGAAAAATACTTCAAAAATTTTGAAATGAAGTAAATGTTTAATAGCTGCAATTACATATTATCATCATGGGCTGATGGGAAAAAAATGTGTCTTATTCTTCCAAGCTAATTTTTGTTCACATATAAGTACTTATTTCGAGAACTTTTGCAAGATTTTTTTTGGTGAAGCCTTTGGACTATTAGCATCAACCAAATATTTCTGATCTGATACCAAGTAAATCATCTCTGTTCTCAAGATATATGATAGTGGCCAAAGATTTCAGAAAAATGACATCAAAATAGTGACAAGATGGTGGTTGAATAAACAGGCACTCCATTTTATAAAATTAGCATTGCACTATGCAATCATATTTAGATAACTGCTTCAACTGTAATGCAAACTAAATATGGTACCCATCATGAAACACAGCATATAGGTTGTTATATTCAAATAAAATTTCTTCTAGATGCAAACCCTTGCAAACTTCATTTTGGACATTCTTTCTACTGTAGATTCTCACAAAAATTTTAAACAAAGAAAATGTCATAGTGATAATAGTCATAAAAATAGAAAAAGTACTATGATTAACGTGATTTTCTGTCTTAAAATAGAAATTTAAAAAAGATGTTTATTACCACATAATTTTACAAGAATATGCAAGAAGCAAAGTTAATTTTCTAAAAATAAATACTATCAGCATATATACACTTCACTTGCATGCCTTTGCAGCCACAGCATTAAAACAAATGCAACAATAATTCAGTATTTGTCAATTAAATGCATGAAACTTTTCAGGGGGAAAAAATGAAGCAAAAGAAAAATGCACAAGATTGCTTTATGCTATGATAATGCAGATGTGTACGACTCTTGAAGGCATAATCATGTATATCCAAGAATGCAACACATTTGTTACACAGAAGCTTTTAACATAGTATTCACATTCAGTTTCTAAACTCTTTTCAGTGTACAGGGAGATGCCATTTCTTCTAGCTGTTAGCAACACCTCCTTTAAGGAAAAGTGAGCATATTTTGTGAGAAAGTTGCCAGTAGAATTCAAGCTAATAAGCTTTTGATATGCTTTGGAGTTGACTCATCATTCAGATGTCTTGTAGTATATCTAGATTTCAAGAAACAAAAATAAAACATTACTTTTTTATGCATTTACATGATTTTTTTCAACTTTAAGGGAACACAAATACAGTGTCTGCATGCATATTTATGTTGGCATAATTAATGACTTTGTACTCTATTTAGAATAGCAAATCCTATCTCGTGCATAATATTATTTTTCATTATTATTCTTTATTTATTTCATGACTTTACCTTATTTTTTCATTTTATAATGTATTACTATGTCAATCTATAAAATATACCACTACTATTTGTAACTATTATCTATATATTTACATAAGTTTTTTCGGGGAGCATATCTTTGATGTTATTTTACATTTCCTTATACTTTCTTCAGTACCAATTATAAAAGCAAATATATAATAAGCATTTAGAAAAGTGTGCACAACTTTGCATGAAAGTAATAAGTAACAGACAAACAATTTTTATCACCATACAACACACAGACAGAGACTTCAAATTTTAACACAAATTCAGTATGAAATGTCTTCAGTAAATTTAAAGGCATACAATTCAAAATCAAGTTTTGCGCTACATACCAAAAAGCATATCTGCATAATGTCTACAGTGGTATTTTCTGGAATGCAGCCCTCAACATTGGCTCTGCAAAACCAAAAGGGAAAACTAACAGCATAAAACTACAATACTCATTACAGCTTGCTGTGCATCAGCCACTGTCATAATTGATGATGTAAGTGACGATGTATTTCAATATACTACAAAACACTTCATTAGTACACTACCTTATTCCCACCATTCAATATGTTATGGCATCTGGTCAATTTCTGTATTTTTTAATAGCATGACATTTATTTAGTTTTTATAGATCTTTTAAGTCATTCTCTGTTCCACTGCAAAGTTGTACACCACCTTGTACAATGAATGCAGAGTATCTTGCTTAGTTTGCACACAAGATATATTGTATTCAAATCCAAATGGACAAAAGTCAATTACCACACATGGGATATAAATATTCAGACAGATTTACAAATGAAAGAGCACAGTAATTTATGATATATTTTTCGATATATTTTATGATATATTTAAAATTATACATTTTTTATCACCTCTTCAATGGCCACTATAACAATAAAATTATATGATCACATTAATGTTATATTTACTTAACGTAATAATAAAATAAAATAAGAAAAAAATTAAATTAGAAAATATTACTTTTTTTTGGGGGGGGAAGGGTAAACCTAAATAAAATGCTAAAAGGTACATTTCCTGGCTACAGAAATAATTTTTATTAATAAATTATTCACATAACAAATTAAAATTTCACATTCACTGACTTTTCAGAATAAGGGAGAACGATATTTTTGTCAAAGGTCTATGTCAAATTTTACAATGTTTTGCAATTTATATTTTTTGTACTAACATATTTTCTACACACATGATTTTTTTTTTACAATGCTAATCTTTAAATGTTTAGCATCACATACCAAAATTAGCCACTTGAGAACTTAGCTCAGCATAACTCAGACTGAAAAATTTCAATTTGAAATTTATAATTATAAAAAACTTAAAATAATACTTTCAAATTTGCAGCATATCATTTCATGTTATTAACATTTTTGTAAAAGATTACACTAATTTTACGATTTAAAATAATTATATTCAATAGAAAAATGAAAAAACAATTCAGCCCTTTTCCTTTTAAACATCAATAATTAATTTGCAGTGTTATTTTTAACTTTATTACATATTACTCTGTCTTAAACTGTATCTGCGCCTAACTTGGAGACCTTGTATTTGAAAGCAGACGCCCCTGACTTAGCAAGACAATCCCTCTAGGTGGGCTCAACAAAGATATTGTATCTGCAGCAGGTCCAATATGTCCAAAAAAATAACTGCCGAGACCATTGGTTCTAATGATGTATTACTTATTTATTGTTTATTGCTCTGCTTTAATAAAAAATACACAAAAATGACATCACTTCTATCATTAATACAAACTACCAAAAAGAACATTCCCTATGTAATATAAATATGTAATCTATAATAATGATTAATACTACATACAGTAATTAATAAATAAAGAAAGCATAAAAATGTGTACAAATAAAAATACAATTCTGAATGCAATTTTACTGGAGCTGAGTCCAACTTATAAAATTGTTACTGTTACTGCTAACTTCTGAAAAGAAATGTTTATCAGAAGATAATAAGAAAATAATATAAACTAGATATAGGATTCAATTCAATAATATAAACTAGATATAGGAGATACTAGGTTTTCATTTACTAAGGAGCTAATACATATGGTACAGAATGTACATGTGGCTACACAGATCCAGACAAACGTCCTTTGTGTTCTATAACTAAAAATGCTCGAGGCTTTCACCTCCTGTTTACAAATACCTTGAAGTCCAGTACACCAGATCTGGGAATATCTCAGTTAGCTGAATGTACCAGTGATTAAACATAGCAGGAAAATCTTTCAGTTGTTTTACTATGCATAGTTTATTTACATAAAGTATTCTTTTCAATAAAAATTCCTTTCCGCATTCAAGAGGAAACTGGCCTCAAATTTAGAACAGTTTAGAGATCAGAATTCTTTACAGATAACGCAACAATCATTAAAGAGCTAGTTAGAATTCTCTCAGACTTTTTGAATCAATCATGCTTGAAATAATCCCACTGCAACCCAGTATTGTACATGAGATAAAAAATATATTACACTTGGTCATTGACTTACACAAAAAATTACAAATAAAGAAATGACTTTTGTGTTAATAGTAACTATTGCAATGTGTAGGATTATTAGACATTACTAGAGCATTATTATATAACATGGTCAAATTCACAGTGATTTTACACCGTAAGCAAAATTGCACATATGAGATATTTATGTTCTGTTGACGAAAATTTAATCTTTTTTTTCGGGGGGGGGGGGAAGAGATGACAGTTGTATATTTTTTTCTAAACTGGTTTCCAAAAGGCACATACTGGCACTAAATGTAAATTAACAGTTTCTGAAGGTGGAGTTTGAATGGTTAAAAATCAATGTCAATCTTATCCATATGATAAAACCAATCATGATTAACTGTCCAAGCATATGCTAATTAGGTAGTCATTGATGGCACTAGCATTCTGAGGGGTTTGGGAAGGTTAATTTAAATGCTGATGAGAAGTGTTTATAACTTCTGTGGGGTAATTTCTTATGATATTTATGTTTCTATGGCTGAAAGAAAATGAATGGTAGATGGTGAAAGCTGTATGCTCTTGAAAAAGTTGACACAGGATAGTCAATCAAAGATGTTGCTCTTTTCTTTAGTATTGATTATATCATAATATCTTGAATATGGAAACAGTTCCAAACAAGTCAAACAATTATTCAGAGGTTTGGACTTGATAGATTAAGGGTTACAATCATTTTTGAAGATACATACATTGCTATAGTAGCCAGAGAGATCTCCAGAACTGTTATTTTCATGTTAGCAGCATCACTTGGTCAGAATATATCTGCCAGTACTGTGCATGACATGCAGAGATTGTACATCTGAGTACCAAGTGCTTGTGTTCCATTAACCAACCAGTCCAGAGAAGGAAAAGTAAAATGGTGACATTAACATTTCAAACAGATTCCTTTAGATTTGTGCAACATCCTGTTCATGGATGAGTCCAGGAATCAGAAGATAAGTATGTCATGGTCTGGAGAGAATGATGCATACAGAATAAGGCCCATAACATTGTTGAATATCACCCACTCAAGAGATGGCAGCATCATGGTATGGGATGGAATTTCAAAAGGATACTATTCCCGGGTGTATATCTTTAAAAATGGTTCTTATAATTGAAATTAAGTTCTGCATCCCACAGTGAGACACTATACTGCAGCAGTTGATCATGATTTTCTCCAAATGGATGATAATGCTCATACCCATCTAGCCACTATCGTTTATGAGTACCTGAAAAGAAGGCATTTCTCGTACGCAGCTGTCAGAATATTTCCCCGACCTTACATAATACAAAGGTTTTCAACATCTAAACCTTAAGATTGTTAGCCTATCATATGCATTTTATTTCATCGGCCTAAATTTTGGATTTAAAGCTAGACTTACAAAAGTGCCATTATTTTGATATTCACAGTTACGAGGGATTTTACGGTACTAAGGAAATAGAAACAAATAATCTGTTCAAATTAAGCTCGGAAGGTTCTTTATCATCAAAATATCTATCTCGACTCAAGAACATAGCTGTGACGATCCACAGCCCAGCACAAGCAAGTATTACAATTGATATTGTAAATTACATTTGTACTAAATGTTTACAATATTTCTGGTTGTATTTTCTTGTTTAAATTACATTTAGTACTATTTTAGCAGAACCAATAGCGTAATTAAGCTTTATAGTTTTGTGTATTTAATAACGGTGTGAATAATTAATAAATTTAAATGCAGAGAACCCTAGAATTTAACTGTATAATGTTTAACATTTCCTAATATGAAAAATAAAAAATGATTAGAATAAAAAATATTTTAAAAACAAAATATAAAGTTGGCAGAAAGATCAGAAAGGTAAAAAAAATACTAACATACTACTACTTCATATAAAACAATGCTGTTAATAAATACCTGGCCGATATACAACCAATTTGACTGACAACCTGTCAGCCAGAAGGAAATTTGGTTATAAGCTGATTATTAACCTTAATATTACAGTCTACACTTGTGTAAAGTCTATCCCAAAAGAATTATAGGTGCTATGATTCCCACATCATAGATCCAGACTTCTTACAGTTTACTGAAAGGCCATTAAACCATACACAATCCAGAAAGTCATAAAGAATATACTCTCTATTATTGATGACATTAGTCACATTCAGCTCATTCAAACAATTAGGAGAGTTGTGTTGGCACGATATTTATAGAAATAATGTAATCACTCCTGGAATTTGCAATAAAATAAGCAACACACATATTAAATTGGATATCTTACATCTGGAAAGTACAATTACATTTTTCTATTGTATATAACATGCTCACTGTAAATGCTAACCCAGAGCCTCTTGCAAGCAAAGCACCCTGTGTTAGGATACAGGGTGTTTCCTTTCAGAAGTAACATTTTATGTTATTCCAGATAATAAAAAGGAACAAAATATAAAACAAAACTATTCAAAAAGTTTTTTTTTATTAAAGATTGAATAATAACCTGAGGGCATTAAGAAGACCTTCAACAACATTAGGTGGCTGATCTTTCAGAACTTTTATGGATCCTTTGACCTAAGATTATAGACATAAAATATTTTTATTTTGATATATAATTTCATAGGAATAGTCACATATAAAATTAAATATAACACTTACATCTATGTGTGCAGATTTTGCGAAGGCTCCAACTGGGTGAACATGATCATATAAAATGATTAAACCAACCATCACCCTCAAGACAAACAGTATTGTTTCTTCATTTCTAAAACGACTGCAAAACTCCCTAAAAATATACATTCATTTTTATTAAATACACAAGATAAAAAGAGTAAAATTAACTGAACATATATTGTGTATGAAAAGACACACATTCAGAAAATCAAGCAATTATTACAGTACAAAGTCCAAAATCCAGATTTTGAGACAACTAAGGAGGTGGAACAAGTTTAAAAAAGGGGAATGTAATGTTTAACAGAAAGATGGTGTGCAATAAAAATGATTTTTCTCCCAACTAAGATTCCTATACGTCACTTTCAAACACCTGCTGGCAAAAGAATCATGCCAATGACAATATGTTGATTGACAATGGCCATGACTACACTTTTGACCCTTCAGTATTGTGAGAGATTAGTATTTTTCTATCTGATTAAGTGAAGACCTGAGGCATTTTTGCTTGGAAAGGGATGTTGCACATGCTCGTTTCCCTTTTGTAGGCATCGTAGCAGAGAAGGGAGAAAAAATTAGTTTCTGAGGAACTTAAGTTCAGTTAACAAAACAAATGTGCTCTTCTTTAACTTTCTAGTTTGATTTAGCTTAAAATATATATAACATTAAAAAAAGAAAAATGTTTTTTCTATAATTTTTTGTGGATTCTGACACTCTACTTGCATTAAAACAACAGACAAATTTGTTATGTTACAAGTGAAAATCATTACAAAGTGATCATTGAATGGCTGAGACAATGTCACAGCGAGGACACGCTACTGATGAATGTAATACAAATCACTCAAACCAAAATATTTCATGAAAAAATGGACTTAAAAACTAAGTGCAGATATTCAAGAAGTTGGTTAACCAAACTTAAAAACCACCATATTGTGAAGCAACTGAATAATTTACAGACTGAGAAAAGTTATCTGAATAATTTACAGACTGACAAAAGTTATCTCCAGAGCAATATTGACAAGTGCTTATAATGCTAACAAAACTGATCTTTTTTTATAAAATCTGAAATAATTAACCCTGAAATACATTGGTGATCTCTGCAGATAATGTCCCAACTGTTTTCAAGAATTCCAAAGTGAAATTGGTGATTTTGGAACATGCAAATTCCACAGGAATGCACAAATATAAACTTTTCACAATTAAAAAATATATATACAATCTTGGAGTAAAGATTTTCCGAGTGATCTATTTTTCAAATAAAAGCATGGGTGACATAATGTTAATGAATGACTGGCTTGAAAATCATTTCATACTGGAAGCTCAGCAAGATTTGAATAAAAATTTAGAATAAGCTACCCCATCTCATTCTTTTTTCCATACCGTACATCCATCATTTAGCCTATGGATATCAAATTATTGCGCACATGTTGAAATGTGGAAATACAGAAACTTTTTAAAACCCATACTAAGATTTTTTTAAACAGGAGCAGAATCCTTCAAGAATTATTGAAATATTTGAACACAGAATGTGCTGTGGGGTATATTACCAGGTTGTTCAATAAGTTCGCAGGACGGAAATGAAGAAACCAATTTTTATTTGTAAAAATGACTTTATTTTTCAACGTAGTTTCCTTCAACTTCAATACACTTATTCCAACAGTCTTCTAATTTATGGATCCCTTGACTGTAGTGGTTTTTCGGCAGCTCTGCAAAATATCCCTCCATGGCATCTGGTGAATAGACTGGATGTTGCAACAATTCGTACTTCAATTCAGTTATTTTAGAAATGGTTTTTTGAGCTGTGTGCGCAGGTGCGTTATCTTGGTGGAAAATTATTTTCTTCTTCTGTAATCCGGGTTCTTCCTTCACGAATTTTTTCGTCTAATTGATTCAAAAGGTTACAATAATAATCTGAATTAATTGTTTTGCCAGTTTGAAGGTAATCTATAAACAAAATTCCTTTGCACTTCCTCAAAAAACTGATGCTAACACCTTCTTGGCTGATTTTTGCATACAAACTCGCTTCGGCGCCGAAGAGCCGGGTTTCACACCACCCCTTAACCTCCTGTTTTGATTCAGGATCATGATGGTAGACCCAAGTCTCATCCAATTGTGTTAAATCGATGGATAAAGTCGCTTTTATTCTTCTTAAAAGCGCTCCAAATGTTAGCTGGTAAATTTGCATCCGAATGTGTTTTTGCTTCCATCGTTAGAGAATGTGCAGTACCCATTTTGCACAAAGTTTTTTGAAACCCAAATTAAGACTCAAAATATATGCTCATTGTTGCCCAATGAAATGCCTAAAGCCTCTGTTAAATCTCTTTTCAGTCAATCGACGGTCTTCCATACCATACCTTGTATTTTTCTGATGATTTCCGGTGTTGATGCAGTTTTTGGACGTGTCCCTCTCGCGTATCGTCTTCAAGGCTGGTATGACCACTTTTTAATAAACTAGCCATTTGCAAACCATTGTTTTTGAAGGAGCAGATTCACCAAACACATTCACCATTTGGGTATGAATTTCCATTGCCTTTAAACCTTTCTTTACAAAGAATTTAATAACTGCACGTTGCTCAATTTTATCCATACCTGAAAAAAGGCACAACACGTTAAGATATAAGGGGCGGTTAAACAATGAATAAATTAACAGATCGAAATGAAACTTTTGACATGTTCCTAAGAAAGAACAAATATGAAAATGGCATCGAAGTTTTAGGTCTAATATTGACGAATAGATGGCGGTCTGCGAACTTATTGAACAACCTTGTACAAGGTCATAGGAGGATATACCTGCATATATTTCAAACCATACTTGGTCGAATTTATGACCAGCTACTGTATTTTATGGTGGTGGTGGTGATGATGATTATAGCTGAAAATTTGAAGGTTTGTGATATCGGAAGCAAAAGATAAAATTTTCAAATGAATGGAATTTGTAAAGAAACAGCAATAAATGAAGATGTAGAAGCTTTCCATTGTGATGATACTGTCTTGATCAACTAATGAACAGTGAAATGTAAAGTATGATTTTAAATCCAAAGAAACAATGGCACCAATAGTGAAGAAAATATCAAAGAAAAAAGATTTTGATAGATAGTTCAATGGGAATTCTTGACACAGCAATTACATGACTTAAACAATGGAACTTAAATTAAACAAGAAATTATGTCTGTCTATGAAATTTAAGAGAAAGTATTAACACACACACACACACAAAAAAAAAAAAAAAAAAAAAAAAGAGAGAGAACAGCTTAACCCTGAAACCGCATTTTCAACATTTTTTTTTTTAATTTAGAAAATTTGGTTTTTTTTTTCCCCTCAAAACTGCTGCTAAAATTAAATTACTTCTTAAAGCTGATAACAGATGACAGCAGCAAACCTTTCTGAGCATCCATTAATTGATACGAATCATTCAAAAATAGCTTCTTTTCACCCTACTCTTTTTGAAGCATTTTAAAGCAAAAAACCAAAAAATTTTAATTTTCCAAAATATTTTATAAGCAGGCATCATGAGTAATGAATTGTCTTAGTTCACAAAAAAAAAAAGTTAATGGAACCCTTTAAATTTGAATTTTTTCATTGCGGTTTCAGTATGAAACCACCGCCCCTCTGGGACATCGAAGAAATGATCAGATGACGCAGTCGCGAGATTTTTTGCAGCTGTGTTTATTGCTTTCGGATCACTGCTGTACACAGTTGCACAATATCTTCGTTTGAGTGGCTTCAAAGATGAGGATTTATGGAACTTTTGAGAGAGGGAAAAAACATTTCTTATTTTTTACAGAGACACAGAGCACACTGAAAAACACTCGTAGTTGCGTTTTTATTATGCTTCTCTTAGCGGTCGCTTTTCTCATGCTTCTAGTTCATAGTAAAATAATTGTATGCATCTTAATTATTTTATTTTATTACATAAAATTTTTTAGTTTTAAACATATTTTTAAAATATTTCATAGTTTATGCAAGTAATTTAGTGCATTATTAGTACTTTTTGTCTCATACTTTTTTGTTTCCTGTTTTAAATTTTTTACTTATAATTAAAATGTGTGTTTATGCCAATATTATTACTTTTAGTTGTTCAGTAATTTACTAGTATAATCTGAGATTTGGGTTACGTTTAGATACTTTTCAGCAAAGTAAAGATAAATAAGCAAATGTCTAGTCTTAAGTGTTCTAGACGGGCGCTGGTTTCAAGGCCGGTCCCCTCTCCATAAAGGGGGACGAAAAAATTTTTTTTAAACTCATTTATGTTGTCTATAGGACCATTGCATGTCATTATGCCTACTTTTTCATAACTTTTAAAAAATCATAACATTGCGCCCCTGAAAGGGTTAAACGATTTATATTGAAAGAAATGTTTAATAAAACAAATAAATAACTATTGAGGTCTTTTTTATGCCTCCAAAATTCTGATTCCTTTCAAGTCATAAATGCTCTATTATTTTATCAACAACTATTTCATGTTTTTGATTTTATTATTTCTACATGTCATCTTACTAGATTTAATCAATGATCTAAAATCCAGAAATTTCCAAAATTTGGAAGAGCCTAAGTCCCAAGGATTTTGGAAATCAAACTTTGTACTACATAAGACAAGCATTATCTAATTCAGAAGTCAAACAACAAGAATCAGCGTTATATTTTCAAAATTTTCACAGGACTAGTTTCGATGGTTTTACCGAACCACCATCCTCAGCTGCAAAACCACAAATGAACAAGATAGGAAATAATGATTAAATAAGATAAGGAAGCCTCGACAAGAATAGCAAGTGGCGCCATCTGTTGATGAAACCAGAACTAAAACATAATTAATTTCTTTAACCCTTTGATGTGCGGTGGTCATGCTTTGAAACCACCATTTTCCGAATTTTTTTTTTTTTTCCTACTCTTTTTTCTGAAATTTTTGAGTAAAATGAATTGATTACTGATCTTTTACATCTAAATAATACAAAATGACTGCAGAATCATACATGTTTTAAATCTTAGTACGTCAAATCGGATGTCTTTTAAAATTTGTTTTCAAGCAGACAAAAAACTTCCTTTTATTAATATAAACAACTTTAAATTTCAAAAGTTGTTTATCGCACATCAGGATTTCTATCGTGAACAATAACAAAT